TTATACATAGTCTGGAAGAGGAAAACAAGCTTTTCTGGTTTTTCAACTGCCAGTTGGTTTCTTGACTTTGCATGTACTATTCATTAAACTGAACTATTTGAATAAAATGAAATGAAGAAAACATTCTTTTTGCACCTGCAAAAGAGGCTGGTTTAGTGCTTCAGCAAACTCTGTGCAGGTGTTTGGCAGTGACTTCCACCAGTTAAGTGGTTTGACTTTCTTTAAAACTTAGCAGCAAACATGTATGACTTGATATTTTTTGTATTTAAGTGATTTTAATAGATTATAACTTTAGGCCTTAACATATGTTGTAAATTTCATATTTAATTTTAAATAGGTTTGTGTTTAATAGATGAATCTGTATTTAATTTAAATTTTTAAAAATCCATTTTTTAAAAAATCATAGATTTTTATCTACGCTGGATGGAAGATAAAAATCTAATCTTTTCAAGCTCTTCTATTGGTAAATGTTGTTAAACATTGATTTCTCCATATACACACATTTTAATTGATAATCTAAATTTACAGATAGGCAAAGTAAAAAAAATGAATTAGGCTTGTGAATGAACAATAAAAACAGGTATGATTTTTTGATTTGAGGATATTTACTTGGTATATTTTGACATGCGATGTTGATAGTGTTTTAATGGTTTATAACTTTTTGAATCTCAATATCTACTGTCATTTAATAATGCAAATAGAGAAAAATAAAAAAAAATGCTTAAAATAAGCATCGATATTATCCATCAAAATTATTTTAAAAAAATAATTGAATTCTGCCAAGCCTAAAGATAGAGTGGCTTTGAGGAAAAGGGTACCCTTTTTAAAGCCAGCACAGCTTCATTTTCATTGGGATTCCCTTTACAAAATAAATTTTCCTCCCTCTTCATAAATTTTAATTTTTAAAAGAAATATGTGAAACTAATATAAAGTATGGTACATCTATATTAATTTATGATTATGTACACAATATGGCTGAGATTCTGGAAACACTCATGCTTAACTTTATGCACTGTGAGTTCAATTGATTTCAGTGAGACTACTCATTGCATAAAGTTAAGCACACATGCAAGTCTTTGCAGGATCAGTGCGCACTATGGCATTATACCGTCCTAAAGGTTAGAATTCTCTGTTTCTCTGCATAAGCCTTAAAACACAATCCAGAAGACAGGTTAATAAACATTCCTATGACAATACAGAGTAGAGTAGTTAAGATGAAGTGTGATATGCTGCCTAGACTGACCTTTTAGATGCTATTTTCTTACACCTGTAATTTTTGAATAATTAGGGAAGATTTATGGTAGTTTTCCAATCCAGCATGAGAGCTGAGATTTTGAAAAAGGGCATTTTTTCTATGCTCATTTTAGAGGTCATTTTGCACATTGGCATAAAATCACCGACAATGAGTGTTCCACTTTACCTAGAAAATCAGAGAATTACCTTGAGCTAGCAGGCTGTCCACTCCGCTCTTAGAATATTTGGAGGGGCTGCATGCTCCTCACTTTCTAAGAATAACTCACTGTTTCTGTATGCTCACCAAGATCTGCATTTGCTAACTGGTATGACAGCAATAATTTTGAGATTTGGGGAAAGGCAGTAAGAATAACAACCCTCTGTGATTCTCTTAACAAATCCAAAGCCTCTGAATTCAGTATAGGGCCACCTTTCTCATCTGTTTGTCATATAAAATTGAGTAAGGATGATTAGAATATAAGACATATGCATACTGTATTCTGCTCCCAGTCACTATTCCATTTCAGAGTATCTAACCTCGTTTGACATGGAAGATAATGTAAGCAATTTTAACTGGCACAAGTACTAAAATAGAAAACTAATAATCCTCAGAATCCGGGTTGCCTATTATGAATGTCAAACATTAAAGAGAACATTCCTTTGAAAAACTTTCACTCTAGGATTCATAAAGACGCTCCAACCCCACCCTCTTTCCATTCATTTTAATATGAACGGACCCATAAGTGCTCTCTGTAATAGTACGATCCCCATTTTTGTGTGACATTCTGACAATAATGTACATTAAAAAGACATTATTTAATAGAAGATGCTTTTAGGTCCCTTCTTTTTCTCCTGAGGTGGGATCATTAGGTTAAGATAAAAAAAACGTTATCCGTAGCTATTAGAGATTATTTAATGCAGTAAGGTAGATGAGACCCTTTTAGAAAGAAGCCTGACAGTCAGAGGTGGAACAGTCACTGCAATTTATTTGGTAAGAAAAAACAGCCTCAGGTTTTGCAGTATCTACGATAAAAAATAAAGTCCCATTGAGTGAAATTCACTTCAGAGAGCTGCCTCCAGGAATTAAGCATGCTGGGATGTTAAATCAGGGAATGTGGTACACGTTCTTCACATAAGGTTAGGTTTAGAACAGGGGCGGGCAAACTTTTTGGCTTGAGGGCCACATCGAGTTTCCAAAATTGTTTAGAGTGCCGGTTAGGGGAGGCTGTGCCTCCCCAAACAGTCACGAGTGGCCTGGCCCCCGCCCCCATCTGACCTCCCCTGCTTCTCGCCCCCTGACGGCCCCCCCCCGGGACTCCTATCCCATCCACCCCGCCCTGCTCCCTGTCCCCTGACCACCCCTGGAGCCCCCATCCCTGACTGCGCCCCACCGAACCCCTCCTCTCATTCCTGACTGACCCCCGGGACTCCTGCCACATCCAACCACCCCTTCTCCCTGTCCCCTGACTGACCCCGGAACTCCTGCCCCTGACTTTCCCCTGCCGCCCCATCCAACTCCCCTCTCCTTCCTGACTGCCCCGCCAGGATCCCTGCCCCCATTCAATCCCCCTGTTCCCCGCCCTCTGACTGCCCTGCCCCCTATCCACACTCCCACTCCCTGACCACCACCCCAAACTCCCCTGCCCTCTATCCAACCTGCCCTGCTCCCTGCCCCCTAACCGTGCTGCCTGGAGTACCGGTGGCTGGTGGCGCTATAGCTGTGCCGCCCAGAGCACCAGGACAGGCAGCCGCGCCGCCCGGCTGGAGCCAGCCACGCCACCGCGCAGCACAGAGCGCCGGGTCAGGCTGCAGCTCTGCAGCTGTGCTGCCCGGCAAGAGCTCGCAGCCCCGATGCCCAGAGCATTGCGCCAGCAGCGCAGAGAGCTGAAGCTGCGGGGGAGGGAGAACAGCAGGGGAGGGGCTGGGGGCTAGCTTCCCAGGCCAGGACCTCAGGGGCTGAGCAGGAGGGTCCTGCAGGCTGGATGTGGCCTGTGGGGCATAGTTTGCCCACCTCTGGTTTAGAAAGACGATGTTAGAGAGGGGCCTGTGATAGTGAAACTAGCAGAGAAATGTACAATACCGTCTACTGGTGTTCAATTTACTAACTTAATTGAAGATATCATTACAATTGAACTGTGTACCCTAGTGTTGCTGACAATAATAAAGAGCCATTTCAAAACATTGCATAACTCAGTACATTGCACATTAGCGTTTATTATTAAATTCATTTTAGTTTGAGACTATTGGTATGTATTGCGGGAATGTGGAAGGGAAAGATCACTGTGTAATTTGTGTTCATAAGAAAGACTTTGTTAGGTTAGGTTCCACCTGAAGAGCAGTGATCTTTAAATGAGAAGATGAGGGTTTAGATATAAAGTAAAAAGTGTGCTAGTCACCTCAAAAGAGCAAGTAAAGACATGGGGTCCAATTCTTGAATCTGATATCAATGGTACAAAGGGGGTGTACAGCTGGACTGATGAGCCCCTGAACATTTCCTCAGCATGGGGGAATCACTGATTAATGTAGAGCGGCCTGTATGCCATCCAGGGCCTAGCATAGCCAGAGTACAGCAACACTACAGTGATCCCCAGCCGCTCACCAGCCCTTTTGGGCTATTGGCAGTTAGATGCATGTCAGAGCAGCCCTGAGGCTGCTGTCAGTTATTTTGGGGATTGAACTGAGTCCTGTGCCAAGCATAGCTGGGCCAGACCAAAGAATCGGACTCATGGTTCGTGGAAGGTACTGGCTTGTCCCCAGCCCTGAAGGACCCACTGCCACAGCCAGATTCTTTCCAGACACAATTTTAGTTTCCAGACATAGGGAGAACCTCCCCACTCCCACCACAAAACAGTTCCTCAGCCAACCCCTGGGATAAAGCTCCCAGGCACTTTTCTCCTTTGCCTCTCTCAGTCCCTCCTGCTTCAGGACCTATTGCAGGATTCTTCTGTGCTCTTTTAACTGAGCACTGGCTCCCAAGTCTCACTCTCTGGAAGCTCTTTTTCCCCAGCAGGTTCCTTCTGCCTCCCCTCCCTGGGGACACTGGCAGCCTGTCCCAGAGAATTTCCTACTGCTCCTGTTCTCCCTTCCTTACTGACTGACACTGACTGACACTGTAGACAGAGATAGGAATTTCAGATCTCATTTTTCCTTGTTATTGCTGTACACTTTACATGCTTCCCTTAAAAAATATCAAAACCAGGCTTCTTATTGCATCACATATATTCACATCTTAGGATCAAACAGAATTAAGTTATGTAATATAGTTGAGGGATTTTGTATCCACTTTTTAGAGTCCCTGATACATATTTATAGACTACCAGGCTTTCATTAAAGTGTCTTTCTCCCATTTAAAATGTTCTTAATCTTTCTTTCTTTCTTTAGGAGGAATATGCACTACAGTCAGAATCTGTACTCCTGCCATTCAAGTAATTTCCCTTCCTCCCCCAAGTAAAAATTCTTACTTATATTATAGCTGTGTAGGGAATCATTTGGAAGCAAAGAATCTAAGGAAGACAGCCTGGACAGTCTTGCAGAGTTAGGAACCCAGGGCGTTGTCCTTAGATATGTTTGTTTTCTGACTTGTTGAGATAAAATGTCCACAGGTGGAAAGTCTTAGATTTTAATTGCTTTCGGAGTCTCTCTCTCTCTTTCTCATGTCAGGCAACCAGATTTTGTTGAGTAACCCAAGGTTGCGAGGTGTATCTGTCTTGATTTGTTTCCTCTACAACAACTACTGACTAATTTAATATTTTCAACCTCCCTTATAGATGCAAGAATTTCGTCATAAAATGCAATCAATATTTCCAGCAATTCCTAAAAGTGCAGAGCACTCAGTTGAATGGGAAGACTTACTGAAATCCAAATGAAAGGAGCAGAAAGGATTCGGAATTTTATACTTCAGTGGGAGAGACTGCAGAACTTGTGGAAAAATCCCATCTAAAAAAATAAGAAAGAAAGACTGATTTGAATGCATGGAAGTGAGCAAATTAGTGACTGTTTGCTGAACATGGGGGCGGCAGTTATTATTTTAACAGCAAAAGAACTGTTATGTTTTTGCTGTTACTTTTTCATCATCATCACTAGAGTTGAATTGTGGAGAAAAGAATTTTATGGGATACCTTGGGCTGAACTTGAAAGAATAATATAACTGTATGAGAACGTGTTTCAGTAAAACAAAAATCAAACAAAAAACTGATCTTGAGTGGATATTTACAATAAAATATAGTTGCAAACTCTTACCCTCTCTTGCTTTTTGGATAAAATTCTAGGTTGTTTGGAAAATAAGGAACAGCTGTAATTTCATTTACATTTACCTGTCTTATTAGGAATAAAGGTGGCTCAGTCCATCACATCAGATCAGTTAATACAGTCTGCAGAAAAGGCATGTAATGGGTTACCTCAATTCCTGAGGATAGAAGAGATACCTGAATAATACCTATGGAGGGAGGGCTGAACACATCCAGCATACCAAGGGTATACAAGAAAGATCTATCTGGTTTCCTCTATAAAGTGAAGGATGTTCTCTCTATAAAAAAACATTTTTTGATCCATTGTCTATTTTTTTATTGGGACTCTGTAACAACAGGTCTGATAGCTTGCACAAGAACCTGTCATGAAAATGAAGACGCTATAAAATAGTGCGACACCCAGTCTACCCTATACCACAAACACTTTTCAGCTAAGAAGCCATGTGAGCAGGTATAGTTTTCAGTATCTGTGTGGTTCCTATGGCTCTGCTACCTGGCGAGTCCTAAGTAATGTGTCATTTTTCATGCTGAAATGATCTCATTGTGTGGGTGTAAGCTAAGGAAGATAAATGTCTAATTCAAATGTATTTGCCGAACTTTAGATCTAAAACAGTTGTAAAAAATATTTTTAATATGTAAATTCTTCCAGTGAAACAATTCCCCCAATCAGTTATCAGATTTCTTTTATTAATTGCTCAAGATCCAATTAGTCAGCCATCAGGTTTAATAAAGTGCTGTTGAACTATAGCCTTTGTGTTTAAACCTTTTCATATCTAGTAAAGAATATTTTTTAAAAAATCATAAAGGTCAAATGAATAATAGAGTAGCATGGTTTCTCGCTGTAATATACCACAAGGATATTATCTTTGAGTAAACTGAAGTGGAATAACTGACAGCATTTAAATAGCTTACCTCGTGCATTTCAATATTAAACAACACACTCTTCAGCACACATCCAAAGATGGCCTAATTTCATTATTTCTGTTAGTTCATGTACAGTATTTACTAACTACTGTATTGCCTAATGCTAAGGCAGCTTGATGCTGAGTTGCCAAGATTTAACAAGATGGATGTGCCATTTGAAAAGCCAAAGACAATCAAGTGCTAAACAAAATAACTGAATGTATCATGTCCTTAAGATGGCTAGGCTCTGGTTGAACTGCATTCTTGCTTCCACACAGCTAGTAACATTCTTAGGAATAGCCCGTCCCATATGTGGTAGCACTTCTAAGGTCCAGAGTCCACCACAGATCTTAAGAAGCACCTGCACTCTGGATTGACTTCTTTGGTGTTCCTAAATTCAATAGCAGTTACTACTTTTGTTTTTCTAAGCCCATAGCAGTAATCACAGTGCTTCTAAGGCCTGGTCTGCACTACAAGGTTAGGTCAATGTAAACTGCCTTGTGTCTACTTAGCTGTGGAATTGCCTTCACTTAAATTTGGCTTCCGCAGACATTAGTGCCTCTCTATGCCGATTTAGTAACACCACTTCCCCGGGTGGCATATAGCCATGGTCAATGTAAGTAGGTTGACACAGTGTCAGTGTAGACACAGTGTTGATAACGTCAACTGTCACTGGTTTTCAAGAGCCATCCCACAATGCCCACACTTACAATACAATTGAATCAAACACTCCTAGTGAGGTCACTCACTGCCGACACGAGGCAAGTGTGTGCACACACAAGTGATTTAATTATTGCGGTGGCTGAATGCTGATGTAAGTTAGGTTGATATAATTTTGTAGTGTAGATATGGCCTAAGCCTACAGGCTCCACATATATCACTTTCAAAGCCATTTTTGAATATTTCACAGTATAAATACTAATATATGTCAGATTATATTAAAAACTGGGGGAAATCTACAGACAAATTTTTAAACTAGAATTAAATTATATATATAATGATACAGCAATTTGGTACAACAATCTTAAGATATTGACGCTAACAAAAACAACTACTGAAAATGAAGGAATACATACTTCAACTTCTTATACCATCCATAACTCCGCATCATTTATTCATGTTTTGCCAGATGCAGCTTTGCTTGCAAGAAAAAGTTTGTGTAAAAAAGACAGAGAGTGCATGATTTGTAAATCAGATTCCAATCCATGTGAAAAATGTGGATTGCTCATCTCTTTGAATTTGTGCTGTGGCTATAATCCACTGGATATACATACCACTCTTCCTGTGCCATTTTACTGCTTTTTGATATCATATTTAGCATGGCTGCTACCTGAAACCATAATAACGGCTCAGAAGGCTTGCATACTTCTGCACAAAAAGAGAAGCAGGAAGGCAAGAATTACATCAGAGTGGCTAAACAGAAAGGCTCAAGAAGTTATTCAAACCAAAGAGAATTTGGAAGAGCTAAGTCTAGTGAAGCAAATAAAATGAAGGATAAACTACAGCAGGCAATACATAAGAAGAAAATTAGAAGGGCTAATGGATTTCAAAGAACATGTAGCTAACGGTATACAAACAAACAAAAAGTTTTTTTAAGTGTCTCAGAAGCAGGAAGCCTGTGAAAGAATTGGTGGATCAGCTAGCTCACCAGTTTCCCTCTTTTTTAAAAGTTACTTGCTTTTGACTCCTCTCTGCATCAAGAGCCTAGCCAGCATGGGGGAAAAAAATCTAGGAAATAGAGGCAGGCCATTTATAATATCAACTCCTCCAATGTAAGGAGTTATAGTAAGATAAGGTAGGTAATCTGGATTAGTTGTGGAAAGATTCTGGCTGCTTCAAGGCATCTTTGCTTGAATGTACATCTGTGTTGTTTCATTCACTCTCACCTATTCTTAACCACATTCAGTAATAAATGAGACAAGCTTTCTCACCAACAGAAGTTGGTCCAATAAAGGTATTACCTCACCCAACTTGTCTCTAATATCCTAGGACTGACATGGCTACAACAACACTGCATACACCTTCAGTAATAAGACTCACACAAGCACTGTGTATTACATATGAAATCTGCCTATAAAACTATTAGTCACAATCCTGTGTTCCCAGGAAAGTGTGGTGTGGTTGCCCTCACTTTTTCCCCACTGCTCATTTTGTAAAAAAGCAGGGAATGTGGGGTTATGGGGATATAAAAAAAACTAGAACAGGTAATGTCTATAGAAAAATAATTTACATATTACACATTCTTTCTGAAGAATCCTGAAGTGCTTCCCAAAATATATACAGGACCCATGACACACAACTCTCTCTGCAGTAGAGGGTGGCAAATGAATATGAAGCACAGTGCTCTTGTGTGGGAGGTGGAACTATTTGATACATGACATCTAGGCCTCCTACATACTCTGACAAAAAGTCTCATGGGCCCTTAATAGCCTGATTTTGGCACCTTCCACTGATTTAAACCAGTCATGAGTTCTGAGCACCTCTGCAACCTTAGGCCATGAAAATACACACAGAGCAGACTGGACCTTGGTTTTTAAGGTTTCATTCAGAAGCTCTCGGAGAGTTAAATGTGTGAATAAGGATGAAGAGCTAAATCAAACACTGCTGAGTTTGAACCTGTTGCTGTGGGGAATCTAGATGCTTCAAACTTGATGTGCAGGCCAGTAAGCAATCCCATCTGGGTAAAATGGTCTATAGTAGCATTTGGAATTAAGCTGACAGAAGTTTTTTGTAATTTGTCTATTTCCTTTTTACCGGGGCATATTGTTAAACATCCCCCGCCTGTTAACTAATTTAACAGCTAATGTTATCCTTTATGTGAGCACCAGCTGTGTATTGTGTTCTGAATGTTCCTGACTATGGAAGAGCAGAAATTATATGGAATTTCAGCTTTGCCTTTTTGTCATTATCTTGGGCTGAGTATGACAAACAATCACATTTATCTCCTGGAGCACACAATCATCCTATTAACCAGGAAGACATTTTTCACAGACTTAAAAAGGAACAAAGCAGATATTATCTTCCCACAAGCAATTCATTTCATGGGTGCTGAGCACTAGAAACATAAAAAGGGGTGAATGAGACAAGGTATTTCCCCTTTACATCCCAATTAAGAGGGATTTTAGTCAACAAGGCCCATTTTAGTGGTTAATCCTGAAATCCTGAACTTGAATGCACAAAAGAGCTTTTGTAAAAAGCAGAAGAGAACTTGGTTTGAACTATTTTTTCCGTGCATACAAAAAACAAATTTTGTTTGGCCATTTATTACTACCAAATAGGGTTACGGTTAATTTAAGTTTCAAGAGAACAGGTCAGTTATTCATTAGACTGGTAAGTAGGCCATTTGGCCTCGTTTCATCCTATGTGTTTTTCTGATAATCCAGGGGACGGGGAAGGACACAACAATTAATAGTTTTAGTATACAGAACAATATTCCTCCTATGGCTGTCTAGCCCTAGACCACAAGAGAATGATGAAAAGAATTAAGGACAGACAGAACCAACCCTAACTGACTGTAATAAACTATATATTCACTGCCCAAAACTCTGTTAATACAGTGTTCAGGTTGAGTACCAGTGCTGGTACCTTCCAGAATGTGAAATGTACCAATACTTAAAACCTCTCCAAAACAGGAAATAAAGCATTAAAGTAAAACAAATTTAAACCTTTAAAAAATGCACCTCTCACCCCCACCTTAACTCTGCCCTCCTGGAGTTGGCTTTGGGCATGGGTACTAAACCAAACCTGACCTATGCCAAACAAAATCTGCTATTTTCTGGGTTGTGTCCCACACAATGTTATATTGTCATGCCTCCTCATAAACCCCGACTCTCCCTGTGCTAGGTATAGCTGTATGGGACCTGGGATTAGGTGCAGCGAGTCGCCAGAGGTTGCACTGAAATCTGAGATGTGCAGCTGCAGCTAGAAGAATCAGGATGCTTTTTTCCTGGGCTGTGCTATGTGGACTGTCCAAGTAGATGGACACACGGGCATCTCTTGGCTCTAAAATCTATGAATGTATGAAATTTTTTGGGCTGCTACAATGACTGCAACTGTCACTTCCAGAGGCCAGCATCCCAATACATATG